ATTATCTCACAAAATTATTCTTAAATAATATATATAATAATTAAATATACATGTAAAATAAAAAATGGAGGTCCAATATATATATAGGTCAGATATAATACTCTACCTATCTTTATATTCAAATGGTTGGATTGTATTATCTACCATGAAAACAAAAGCACACCCATACATATCTCCTTTCAAATAATGGAAGGTAGAGCTTTTCCAAGTCAGTACAATTATCGTGTCCAGCTTTTGTTGATTTTTCATACTTGATAAAATGAATTTATTTTTAGTAACAAACCAGACATAAGGCACACGCTTTGCTGTGGCTGATACTTTACTGTAAGCCGAGTTAATTTTTTTTAATAGTGTAAAAAAACAATGTCACACCTTAGGAAAAGAGCTAAAAAAATAATTACCAATTTCTTAGAATAAAAATATAAAAAGATAAAATTAAAAAAAAATATATATTAAAAAAATAAAGCACGAGCAAAAACAAGTGTAGTTATCAAAACCCACTAATAGAACCAAATGGATATAATAGGTCAATATAAAGAAAAATAAAAAAAAAAGTTTTGTTGTAAAAATAATTGAATTTTAAAGGATAAAATAAAAAATAATAAAAAAACAACATTAGAAAAAACCTAGGTCACTCGAATAAACCTTCTACGTGGATCATGAGATAGGAAAAACCTAATTGAAAATAAAAAAAAATAACGATCATCAGAATAAACCTATGGAACATTAATCAACTGTAAGATAACCAAAAACCTAGGTTGAACCATGTTTTGGTTAACTCATAGAAAATTCAATCAAAATAGGGTCAAACCTATTGACTATTTTCTTTTTTCTTTTTTAATTTAAAATAGTATCATTTTGAATTTTTTATACCATAAAAAAGATTCGGTTGACTTGGGTTCACTCAAGTCAACCCACTCAACCTGTGACCCGATAATTATCCCAAATTTACTCTGGGTAGGGCATAGAAAAAATAGAAAAAAACTAAGGAGACCAAATCCCTATAAATAAAATATTGAATGATGAAATAAAAAATTTAAAGGATTGGAAAAAGGGCATTTAAGAGAGTCCGAACCTCATTTGAAAAGAAAAGAAAAAACTAAAAGGATAAACAAAAATTCCGAGTTAAATGGAAAAATAGAAAAAAAAAATTAACAAATTAACAAATGAATCTAAAATAAAAAATAAAAATCAAGAGAATGATGACCAAATCTTAAAAAAATAAAAAATCAAGATTACAGATATAAGGATGAAATTGAATAAAAATTAAAACTTGTTAAAAAAAGTGAAGGATAAAAAATTAGAAATCAAAACATTGATGGTCAAATCTCAAATATCATCAAATATTGAATTGAAAAGAAAAATTCAAATGAAAAATCATATTCATGAAAGAATAAAAAATAAAAGAAAACCAATTTCTAACAAACTTAATAATGATGGATGCAATTTGTATTCTTTTTTAAATGACCGAAGCCAACTTGATTTAATTATAAGAACTGGTGATATGGAATATGAGGCCAGATTACAACATAAAAGGTAAATCCAAAAAAATAATAATATAAAATCTCTAACCAACCAAAATAATTAGAGATAAACTTGAAAAAACAAATTAAAAAAAAAATAGTTTAAAAAATATAGACTTGAAAAGAAAGAGAACCAAATTTGATATAAAAAATAAAAGAAAATTATAAGGGATGAAATTGAAAAACAATTTCAATAAAGAAAAAGATAAGAACAACTAAAATTAACAATAAAAAAAGAACCATATTTGATACAAAAAAATATCAAGAGATGAAATTCAAAGACAAATTAATTTAATCAAGGATTCAAGACCAAACACACCATAATTAAAAGAATGAAAATAAAATCTAATACAAAAAATCAAGTGAGGTATGAAATAAAAAAAATAACTCAATAAATGATTCAAGACCAAATACATTTCAATTAAAAGAATGAGAACCAAATCATATATAAAAATCAAGTGCCAAAAATAATATTGAAAAAACAAATTAACTCAATAAATAATTTAAGATCAAATACATTCCAATAAAAAAAAACAAGGGCCTAATTTAACTTAACAAAAAGATAGTCATGCTTTATTGTTTTTTTTGTAATGGCCAACACGGTTTTCTAGGCAGAGAGAGGAGGGAGAGAGGGAGGGAGGGAAAAATTCGCGTCCAATGCTCTTTTGTGTCACGACCGTGAACACGCGTCTCACCACTGTGATAGGGGTGGTGAGGTGCAACAAACACCTCCTTGAAAGGCAACATTCGGTGCAATTTGGGCGTCGCATGCACCACCCAAAAAAAGGCTAGAGGTATAAACTTGTTGGCTTGTCCGAAACACGCGCCAGTCATCTTTAAATTTAAATAATAATTTATGCATATTAAAATACTCAAATACCCTTGACACAGCTTGAGAATTACAACAAAACCATATCAAAAGGACAAAAACACCCTTGCTAATAGTCTTAATTTTTTTAGGGTCAAAGGGTATAAATGTAAGCATACCGTTTTTGTTTTGCAAAAGACAAAAAAGCCTGTTGCGGGAAGCCTAGTTTTTCTTGTTTCTAAGTAGTACAAATAAGTTGTTACACTGTAGTAAAAGAAATATATCCAGATCATTTTATCCTTGATAAATTTTATAATGACAAACGTATTATTTGGTAAAGGTAACCGTATCTCTAATTGCATAACCATTTTTTTAATAAAGGTAAAATAGTAAAAATAATATGTCTAGAAGCAGAATAAATCACTGGTGTCTTTTTAATATTTTTTTTTTGTAATATTGATGCCTTTGTGTCTAAGAGAAATTTGGAATAAATGATTAATATTAGATATTTGCTTTTATTAACTGATAACTACTTGAATATCTAATGATAAATTCAATTAATATCACAAGGAGGAGGAAGAAGAAGAACATGTGGAAGGTACTGCATCCATGTCAGAGTCGAGCCCTGAGGAGGTATGTTCCCCTTCCATCTCAATACTTTAAAACCTTGTTTTTGTTTTTGCAAAAGATAAAAGAGCCCCCTGCCCCAAAGCTTTATTTTTCTTGTTTCCAAGTGCAAATCAGTTATGACACTGTAGCAAAAGATACATGTCTGGACCGTTTTGTCCTTAATAAATTTTATAATGACTAATTCATCTCTCCGTAAAGATAATTGTACGGACCTCTAATTGCAAACATAATATTCTTTTAATAAAGATAAAAGAGTAACTAAAAACAATGTTGAATTTCCACAATAAATCATTGATGTCTTTTTAGTATATTTTTTTAATATTATCCTGCGAGGTTTTCTCTCTCCCACTTTTTTCATAGGAAAAGACATTAATGACATGTTAATTTTCCATGCTTTGCACTTTGCCCCTCTTTCTCTTCCCGTAAATTCAATGTTTTTAATAGTCTGTCTAACTAATAATCTTAATATTATAAGCTATATATTTTTGATATTCACGTTGTGTTGTTTTATTTTCAGAAATACCTTACATACATTTTCTTTATCCAGTGTTGCCCAAGTTTTTACAACACACATTCTTTTATTTAAATCCTGTATATTTTTATGATTTTAAAATTATTTTTTAAAAAATTGAATTTATTTTTATTTTTTCTTTATTTTAAATTAATTTATTTTGTATTTCTAAATCATTTTAATATACTGATCTCAAAAATAATTTTTTAAAAATAAAAAACTATTATTTTAATATATTTTTAAATAAAAAATACTTAAAAAACAGTTATTATAATCCTCTTAATTAATCAAGGTTGCACTTAATTTACGCACTTCGAACAGCATGCATGCATTGAAAGCAAGATTCTACTTAATTTGGTTGCAAGTTTTAATCAATTAGTATCTGAAATTAGTCAAATTACCTCCTCTATATTTATTAACACAAGAAATTAAATTGGAATTCATGACACTCCTAATTTCTATTTTTAAATAAGAATAATTTGCATAGATTAATCAATTATTTGTTAATTACTAATGTCGAGCTAACGATGTTGCTATTTTGAAGAGGTTGAAAGAACTTGAAAAGATCGTGGCAGATACAAAGCAAGATCTTGAGCATAAAAATCGAGAGCTTGAGCAACTGAGATCTTCTTTAACTGCATTAGCTCCACAGGAAGGAATTGATTCACTTCCAAAAAGTTTGCCAGCACAAACAGATGGTCAAGGGACTGGTCAACCACCATCAAATAATGAGATCAGTTTAAGCATGGAATAAGAGTACTAGCTTTTGTCATGTTGTGTCCATAATTATTTAAGTGAATTAACTTATATAAGTTCCTACTGATAAAAATACTGTTGGGCGTCATTTTGCATGCATGTATTGAAAAAATTGCATTGAAAAAATTGTATTGAAAAAATTACATAATCTGAATAGCTTGCTAAATACCATGTATTATTCTGTAATTAGACGAGGTGTCGCAATCTTTCTTTATAGTAAGTAGGAGGGCACGACACCAAAAGTGTTCTTATGATATTAATTATACTAAAATATTCGTTATTATTTATGATCCTCGGATTGTTAACGAGTCTAGTCAATTTTGATGCCTTCGTGTCTATTAAAAAATTGAAATAAATGCTTAATATTAGACAGTTAATGCTTTTATTAACTGATGACTACGCTTTTATTTACTGATGACTACTTGAATTTCTGACAATAAATTGAATGATGTTTCACCACAAGTCTGGAGACAAATATTTGAAAGGTATTGCAGACATGTTAGGGTCGAGTCCTGATAAGGTATGATACCGATTTTCTTTCACTATCGTTTTACTTCTACACATCATAGCACAACACAAGTCTTTGAATAATGCACGAATGATTTGGCAAGTCTTTAAATTATGAGGCAAAAATTATAGAATTTTTTTAAAAAAAGTAATTAGAAATTGTTTTTTTATTTTTTTGTAAGAGACCATTAATTTTGAGATTTACATTCAAAATAATTTCATTCCTTCTAATGTGCTAATGTACTGATATAGAGAATGTCTTTTTATTTTTTTTAAATAAAACTAGGATTGTATTTGATTAATATTCTAGATTAGAAATGACACGAGAAACAAAAAAAGTAAAATGACTCTAATATAATTTCAAAATGAAATTTTATACTTCTAAAATAATATATATATATATATATATTAAGTTTTTAATCATAGATTATTATTATTATTATTGCTTACCTAAAAAAACCTACCCATTTGTTGCTGCTATTAACTCAAATGGCCATAAGAAGACCTGACCGTGGGTGGCGCTGAAGCATAAAAAGAGTATCAGTAGTACAACATAGTTAATCAGGTATAACTAATTTAAAGCTTATAGTTTAACTGGTCAGATTTTAAATTTGTTTTTTAAAGATTATTAATTTGAATCCTGCAAACTTTAGAACTATTGGAGATTTATATGATTGTTAACTTTAGAGTCTATGAATTAGCTGAGGTACATGCAAGCTAGTCCAAATACCTATATATATATATAAAGAGTATTGAGCTAAAGTTATATCTTTGTGCTTGACTGCTTTTTATGATCAACTTATTTTAACCCCAAGTACACGAGTGTACGATGTAACAATTAACTCGCGATGTAGCAATTAACTCGGTAAGATCGAGGTCATATCCACAGAGAGCTAGATCTGGAAATTAAGCTAAGTAACAAAAAAAAACTCAAGAGAAATTAAATTAACAATAACTTGGTTGAAAATAATTGATGGATTTGTTTTCAAAGATAAAAAAAATGTAAATAGATTTTAAATGACAAGAAAAGTAAGTCTTGGTCCAAATCAATTTTAATGGTGATGTATTGGTGATTTCTTCAACATATATAAGATAACTCAACCTAATCTCAACGATGGTGATATTAGATCGGACGATATTACAATGAAGATTAGAAAGATGAAGATTGATTATTGCTTAAGAATGAACAAGTACTTTCATATTAAGTAAGACATTGAATCAAGCAATCTCTATACCAAAACTAAAGTTTGTGCATAAAAATTCAAGATTATAACATTTCCTAAATGATTTCTAAAATTTCTTTACAATAATAAATCATTCATGAAGAAAATAAGAAGATAAACATTAAGATTCATTCATATCCTAAAGAACTCACCTCAATCACTATTATCCTTGATTTGGATCCAAGAAGAAGATTAACCAACCATAATTATATATAATAACTTTAATAAACATGAAATAACTTGAATCAAACTAAAATAATGAGTTTTACAAGCTAAAGAATCGAAATATATAAAGAAGAACACAACACAATTTCAATAAAAATTCAGACACAAATTTGACTCTAACTTTGAACAGCAACTCGACCCTCTTAGAAGGCTCCCCTGGAGATGGCTGTTAGAGACATATTTATAGGCCATTCTATTATCTTTTCATATCATTAAAGAACAGCTCATTTGGACATCTGAGTCAAAAGTTATGGGCAAAACACCGAAAGGTATTCTGAAAAATCAAATAATGTCAGCTTGGAAAACTCTTTGGTGCATGTTTTTCTTTCTCCTTTATGAGTTGTATCTTTTTTATTTTGACCCAAAATAATGTCACAATGTCCCCTCCAGCTTTCCATCCATGTGATTGCCTTCTTGGATCAATGGATTACCCAAAATAAATCAATTGTTATTTGTTGTGTGGACATGTAAGATCATGGATTGTGTTTGGGTTGATTTGAAGGTTGATTTGGGGTTGATTTAGGGCTGATTTGGGGCTGATTTTGGGCTGAATTTGAGCATCAAATAAGTATACAAATGTACTTATTATTTGGGCTAAGATTGACATTGAAACCTTGAGTGTTTAATGGTTGAAGTTTGCACACAACATAAGGCAAGTTTGGGCTTGAAATAAATCATATGATATTCTTTTCTAGAATTGGAATAGAATTGATTTTTGGGACAAATTTGGAGCACTTATTTGAACCAAGATTTGCTTCAATCTTCAACTAAATGTCTCTTTAATTCTTTATTTCGAATTCCGACGTTGAATTTTCTGAAATAATTCATTTACGCTCCAAAAACCTATCAAAACATTAAAAGAAACTTCATTACTAAAAAGCACATCAATTATTATAAAAAAATCAAATAAAAACAATAAATATGTATGTAAAATAAGAGATTTAATGATACTTTTAATACACAATCATCTTGCTACTAAGGTCCATTTCTAATAAAAAGGTTAGAAAATAGGACCCTTACTTGTAGACAACCGTACGTCCACCAAATATATAACATGAAGATCTTCTCATATAAATTTCCAAGAGGCCCTAATTTATTTTTATTTATTTATTTTGAGAGATTATAAGGATGGCTATTGATTCAATGGATCTAAAGTAGCTGCATCATATTTACAACGGTAAAAGCTGAATGGGATACTAGCGCTGCAATATATAATATAGAGTTTACACATTCGTAGGTGAATTAGATAATCCTCTTGACAAAATTAATGCAGTAACAAATCTAGGTACAGGGGTAGAAGAGTGACACTTTCACCCTGTTTTTCATTACTATCCAACACTTTATTAGTTCTATCTCTTTAAAATAAATTATTATCTAGAGGTCTAGCTACTGAGAAATTGAAGTTTCTGTATGTTTCATAATATTTTCAAATAAAGTGTTTTTTTATTAACATGGATATCCGCGTTAACTTGTGTTCACCTCTACTAATCTTATGGGCTCTGAAATTAACGACCATATAAGCCTCAAGTAAAGCAACATGAATGCCTGATGATATTTATAAGTATGGTGTTATAAAAATAAGATAATTAATATGATTATGTTAATAATTTATAATAAGTTTATATTTTACTTGTTGTTAATATCATTAGTGGATCGTCTAACCTTGACATCTGTTTTTAGAATTGTTTAATCCTTACATTAATCTTACATCTTAAAGATCTTTTTACTTTTTAAATAAAAAATACATATTATTTATATAATTGACCTTCATGTGGTTCAACCATGGCTTGTTAGGTTATTTATTACTTTAACACTTGTACATTTTGGATAAGACATCAACTCTTTGATCGTGTCAGTATATATTCAAAATCAAGTAAATATTAAATTTTTTTAACTATAAAAAAAGAAAAAGGAAAAAAACAAGATATTGTTGGGCCTCATAAGAGTGACTCATTTAATAAAGGCTTGTTTGTGGCCTTGCAAAGGTAGGCTCGTGCACTTGAAAATATAAAGGCAAACAAAACGTCGTCTGATTTTGCTTAGATTTTGGCTATTATAGTGGCCAGAAAATTATAATTAGATTTTTTGACCTAAAAATCTTTTTTCAATCTATTTTGTACCTAAAAAATCTGGAAAATACCATAGAACCTTGAAAAACCAATCAGTGACTTAAAAAACCCAAAAAATCATCCCAAAACCTAAAATCAACTTAAAACCAAAAACAAATTTCAAGCTTAGATTTATTTCTTAGGTAATTTCAAGGTAAAAAAACACCTAAGGTGAATTTTCCTCACCAAATAGAACTATTTAGGACCAACATCTATTATTTTAATGGTTAGAATATGTATAAATGACAATTTTTTTTCTCTCTATCACTCTAATTTGGTAACTTTCTCTCTCATTTTTAATCTAGAAACTAATAAAAAAGAAAAATAAAAGTTTAGACCAAAATTCATTTAAAAAATAAAACCTAAAAAATTATAGGGTCCCAATTATTATAATTCATAAAAAATAAGGACTAAGTTGAATATTTCATACAAATTTCAAAAACACCACCCATATCCTCCTCGTGTTTCACTTTAATCCATTTTTTTAAATTTTTTTTCTTAATAATTTTAGCTAAATTAATTTTAAATTAGGTCTGAAGAATTAAAAAAATGAAAAAAAAATCTTAGACACAGTAAATTCGGTGCCACTTTAATCAATTGTTTTTAATTTTGTCTTTTCTAAACATTTTTAGCTAAATTAGCTTTAAATTAGGTTCTTAAAGGGCAGAATTAAAAAAAAAAAAACACTTGGGCACAGTAAATCTGGTTTACTTAATTAATAAGTCAAGGTAGTCACATATTCAAAACTGTGGGGAGTTGAGCGCTACAACATGATATTGATATTCAGAATTCCTTCTTTTAAGAGTCCAAAAAGCTTTGTCTATTGTCTATCCAGAAAAGAAAAGGAGTGAAGACAACAACTGTAAAGTCTCTTTATTACTGTTTAGCGTCTCTTCATTCCTTCGTATTCAAGCCAAGTACCAAATTCTTGCTTAATGTAACTATGGTTTGCAAAAGCTGGCCATGCAAGCTTTTCATTATCCGTTTTCAGATATTTTTTTCGAGATATCCACTTTCACTTTTCGTCTTACAGAACAGTTTCTTCAGGGTTCATCGAGAGAAACTAGTTTCCACTGTTGAGGAAAAGATGACAATGCTTCAGCAATTGCCTGAAGAAGTCTTAATTAAATTTGTGGAACAAAGGGGAGATTCGAGGAATGGTTTTGCTTAGTCTCTTACTACAAACCATCCTCATCATATTTGGTTGCTGGATCAGGATTCTCGTTTGGTCTGCGTATCTATCAGCAGACATGGTAGCAACTGTTGCATTGGGTAATCTAGCCAGGAGCCAAGGAGATTCATCAGGTGACGGTTCAAAAAAAGCAAACAATTCCACCCAGGCATTTTGGGCACCTTTTCTACTCCTGCACCT